GAAACATCGTCCGCTTGCCAACTGACCGCTGGAGTAACGATGATCATACATTGTATCTATAAACTTATGTTTTTATTCGTAATAAATTTAGGTTTTAATGACGATTCAAAATACAATGCGTATTGCTTCTCTGTATTGGGAAGGGGGACAAAGACTCCTTCAAATCACTTGACACATAGTAACGTTTGCTACACAAGTCAAACTGTGACCTGTATTTACATATTTACGTCCTTGTGTGCGTAGTTCAAGCAGCTATATAACTGGTCAATCAATCATGATATGTATTGAGTACTAGTATTTGTGTGTTGTGTGTGTGTTTCTGTGTGTGATTTTGACTAAATTTATTCCGAACGGCGCTCAAAATAATTTGACACTTAGTTATTTGCGAACACAACTCACACTATGACCCTTACTCAATTTGCATAAGTAATATGAATGCTGTAGTTAAGGAAATCTATCGGGTTAACTTTTGCTAGTGTCTGGGTGCGCAAAACAAAACTGCACATACCGGTATAACCGTCATTCTACACACGGTTAATCAACAAATACAGTACTCTACAGTAGACATTTTTAGCTCTCCACCAAAAATAGATGGTTTTATTTCATATTAGTTGTGTCTGTGTCATATTTGATTTCACATATTTGATTTGATCTTGTTTATGGTGGACATTTTTATTACTACGCATATGTATTATTACCAATTTTATATGGCAGTGTGATCCACCGTATTTTTTCAACAGTCATTCTATAAATTTCTGATTGTATTTATTCTTCTTTTAACATCATATAAACAAAAATGATACACTTGTACACAAGACAATAGGTAATGAACTGTAAATGCGGGCAGTTGCGCTGTCAGACAAGCAAGCAAGCGAGCGAGCGCGCGAGCAGACACTTCCGGATTTGCGCGGTCGAAATTAAAGCGGAAATTGTCCGGTCGAATTGAACAAAGCGAGCGAAAAAAAAGCGATTGAAATCCGGAAGCAGGCGGGAGGTTGGGCAAAATGAGTACTGTACTGTAGGTCAACCTAATGCTGTTCACATACAAAACATTTTGCAGCAATCTTGTTTGATTTTTCCTAATGCTGTTTTCATATAGCACCAATGAGAAAGCCCAAGAAAGCACAACAATTTACAACAAGGTTGCTGTTTTTTTTACATGCACTGAAGACAGACA